TCAGGGAAGGATGTAAGAGGGGAGAAGGGGAAGGACCAAATCCCCTGGACAGCGGCTATGCGATGGCCCTACGAGCTCGGACATACTCAGCACTTGGTTTTGGCAAAGCATCATGGGGCTGCAAAGTCAAGAGAATGTCATATTAATTAGGGAAATTCCACTCTCCCCTATCACAGCTATTGAAAACTTAATCATACCAGAACTGAGCATTGGCTCAAAGCTAAAGAAAGTATTAACAGTGCATTTGTTTGAAGGGTGAAGCCATGATTAATGTTGATACTAAAATAAATATTCACATTGATCCCTGATGGACTCAGAGCCAGATATTTGTAGGGAGAATTCCCCGGGAGGTCTCCTCTAACTATCCTGGATGTGTCAAATTCAATATCCCAGAATGTCCTTGCGTGATCAGTTGTGGTTTTTATAAGTACAAATCCTGGAGAAATTCCAAGGATATTGGCAAACTTGGATAAGACTTAGAGACCACAGTACATTGAAATACATTTATTTGTGAAACAGTCAAATTTTTAACATGTAGAATTGACAACTTTTAGAAAAAATGTACACATTTAAAAGCTAAAATAAAGCTAATAATAAAGCTAAAATAAAAATAAAATTCAGTATCAATCACTAACAATAATATTATGGAGCATGGAAGTACTCCTTAGCCTCTACAAGCAGTTGACTGAGTTTCCGCTCTAGCCGATGAGGAAGGGACTTTAATAGCTTGTGAAATTCCTCTTCTCCCTCAGGCGGCTGAAGCTTCGTCGATAGTTTGCGTTTTAAAAATTGAGGTTCTGGCTCCCAGCATTTAAAATACGCAATAATTAGCTGCCTCTGAATCCCTGTTAAATCTGTGAACAAATGAAGAGTGGGTAAAACATGTCCAGAAATGAGTTTAAAACGACAGTTAAATTAGCACCTACGTTCATGCATTTCCTTTCCATAAATGAGGTCCAGAACTTTTGAGGTCACGAAGCTGCATGCTTGAATAAGATAAGAAAACGATCAGTGGAGAAAAATAGAGAATTCTTAATGATAAAAAAATTAACATACCCTCTAAATCAGCACTAGACCAAGAAATGTTCCAGTTATCCTCTTTTGGGAAGGTCTGAAAAGAATATTGGACAGTTAGTGAAAAATGCCACAGGGTACAAGTGTAAAGAGAAGGTTGAAATTAATCTCAATAAACATATGGAATAGGTAAAATTCCAGAGCAATAACAGCCCTTAAAACTTTGGCAAGTAAAATACCAGTTGGAACTCTTAAAAACAGTTAAATATTAAAATTGAAGCTTAAAACAGCCAGAAAATCACCCCAGCACCGAAGTTCAAAACAATTTTATTTAGTAGCGGCAAGCTTGATGGAAGAAAATGCGAAGAAGAAAGTGCTGAGTATGTCCGAGCTCGTAGGGCCATCGCATAGCCGCTGTCCAGGGGATTTGGTCCTTCCCCTTCTCCCCTCTTACATCCTTCCCTGAACGCAATAGGAATGCTCGTCTCCCACCATGGCCTCCCACCACGCGCCCGGCAACAGCTGCGGCTAGCGGGACCGGGCCACACGAGCACACACGTAGCGTATGCCCCCCGTCTCCGTCGAGACGCCAGTAAAGTAGCGACACCGCTCGTAGGTGGACGCCAAAACCAGAGGTCTATAGGGACGTAAGGTACACAAGTGATACCATCCTCAGACCCCCGCCCCCCCTCCCTCCCCCCCAAAAACGGGCTGCCGGTTGAGCTGGACAGCTGGACCTAAGCTACACTCACGGGCATGACGAACTTAGAGGGTACGCCGCTTGGCTCCGGGCCGGGATCTGGGCGCCTGCGAGACTCGGGCGTAGGCCAGCCCGCAATACACACATGTACCACGGACACGATGCTGCCTACGTGCTAGGCGCCCCGCTCCTCCGGGATGGTACTTGTCACGCCTCGTGTCACTCGCGCTCTCTCTCTCTCTCTGCCCCCTCACCCCCTCCTCCCCCCACGGGCTGCCCGCTGAGCTGGACAACTGGCTCGAAGCTGCACACGCGGGCATGACGAACTTTGAGCGTGCTTGGCTACACCTGGATCACGCGGTACTGAGAGTGTTCGCTACATTCGGTCGCTAAACCGCGGGGTGAGCAGTGGGCTCGTGTGCCCGGCCAGGCTTAGGCCTTCGCCAACAGGGTGAGGGTGTCGTGGTGTCCGCGGCCGGGGCCAGCAGGAGGCAGAGCGCTGTGCGTCGAGTTTCAATTCAGCGCCGAAGCGATGCTAACCCCGTCCGAGGACGGGACACCTGGGCGCCGTTAAGAATGATTCTCAGTCAACGGAACGGCCGGTGGTTAGATCTCCAGCAGCAGCGCCCGAACGTAGTCGTCGAAGTAGCACTGGCTTACGAGGAGAAAGACTGGACCTGCAGGATAAGTCGCTCTGCGACCCCCCCCCCCTTTCCCCCTTTCTCTCTTGCTCTCCCGTGATCACCAAAGCTCTCCACATGGTGGCGGTGCGCAGGTCCCCAGCGCGGACTGTTCGGCATCCAGGTTGTCTCACGACGGTCCAGCCTCACTCGCCCCGTTGAGCGTGCGGCGGCGAGGGTAGGCCAGCGCCGCCAGTACAAGTATCGCGGCATCGCGGGCTGAAGGGAACTCCTGCCGTCCTGCCGTACCTTTGGTGGGCATGCAAGACCGCAACGCAGCAGAGCCCCGCAACGACCGAGCACCGAGCATCGATGCTCGGTAGCAGAAAAGTGGTGTGAGGTGGGGTACGTAGCGGGATCTGGGCGCCTGCGAGACTCGGGCGTAGGCCAGCCCGCAATACACACATGTGCCACAGACACGATGCTGCCTACCTGCCAGGCGCCCCGCTCCTCCGGGATGGTACTTGTCACGCCTTGTGTCACGCTCGCTCTCTCTCTCTCTCTCTCTCTCTCTCTCTCTCTCTCTCTCTCTCTCTCTCTGCCCCCCTCACCCCCTCCTCCCCCCACGGGTTGCCCGCTGATCTTGAGAGCTGGCTCCAAGCTCGACAAACATTTTTTTTTCTACTGCAGTGTGGTATTTACTCAGCGAGGCCGACGATGATGCCTTACCTGACTTGTTCCATTTCTCCGACTGTCTTGATGCGCAACAAAGGTAAAAGGGTGGAGAAAACATGAACACAATTACGTACTTTAATACACTCACATGCAAGCTTTTATTTAAACGGCGAAAGTGCACAGAAAGCAGAAGTTAGTTTGTTTATTATGTGCTGGATAAGAAGTTGGTCTCGTCAGTCTTGCAAAAATGGCAGAAGTGCACAGGGAAGGAAGAGGCAAGCCGCATACCACAGGCACAGCTATCTACCTCCTCTCACAGCTCACAGGTACATGAAAACAGACAAAACAAAAGCACAGGTCAGCGTATGTATGTATATACAAGGAGAAAGATGAGCAACACTGCAACACTCTACTGCAAGCTGTACGTCGCGGGGTGAAGCACCTATCATTTATAGATATACATGGGTCACACATACGGTCACAAGCAGTACCACTATGCACAAAAAAGAACAACGGACCGGATGTCTGGGAGAACACGACGGCAGGGTGTGCGAGATTGCATACTCGCCACAGGGCACCGTGCCGATGTGCTGCGGGCTTGCCTACTCTCACTGCACCCGTAAGGCGCTATGGCATGGCGACTGAGGCCTCAGTGAGTACCTATAGGATAGGCAAAAAAGCTGAGGCCTCAGGCACCTGGGCGCCAGGATCGGCCTCACCGCGCCTGCAGCGTCCCAGGTAGGCAACCCCGCCGAACGCTCGTGCGTAGCGGGAGTGCCTACCACCTGGGCTGAACGTCGGTGTGAGCAGGTAGGGGGAGTGGCAAGGAGCGGAAAGAAAGGGAGAAGAGTGGGAAAATGTACACCCTTCATCCCCACTGCCTCACCAGAAAACGCCTAGGAAGTAGGCAAATTGAACCACATCCCGCCTGAAAAGAAGGCAAAACGCACTCCTGTCTGCCTGTGC